GCAAAAAGGGTGCGAAAGCGATGTAACCAACAGGTGTACCTAACTGTATCTCATACGGAGAGGGGAAAGGTTTTAACTAGACTACGTCGCACGCAGAAAGGGGTGAAAAGGTACAAGCCAAACTATGCTTCACATAGGAAAGGTAGAGATACAAGCCAAACTACACCTCGCGTAGAAAGGGTGAAAAGATGCAAGCCAAACTACGTCTCACGTAGAGAGGATGAAAAATGCAAGCCAAACATGCTTCGCGTAGAAAGGATGATAGGATATATGATGCAAACCAAACTACATCTCACGTAGAGAGAATGAAAAATGCAAGCCAAACTACGCTTTGCGTAGAAAGGGGTGAAAAATGCAAGTCGAACTACACTTCGTGTGGAAAGGATGAACAGGTACAAGCTAAACCGCGTCTCACATAGGGAGGATAAAAGATGCAAGCCAAACTACGTCTCATATAGAGAGGGTGAAAAATGCAAGCCAAACTAAGTCTCATGTAGAGAGGGTGAAAGATGTAAGCCAAATCACACGGCCGGGTGATAAGGGTGGATACAATAAGATGATAGGTACGATGCATATGAATGCAATATAATTGCCATATTTGATGCGAAATACAATGCGATGCATGTTCCATGCAACATAATAGAAAAGATAAACAAAAAGCGGTGGCTTTGAGAATACCTCATGGGGGGAGTGATGATGAACTGACTTGTTCTGCCGGGGATCTCCCTCTTTGAAAACGTCTCATGGGGGGGAGTGATGGTGAACTGCCTTGTTCTGTCGGGGATCTCCCTTATCTTCTTCATTTTCTTTTTTCTCTTCTTATTTCTATTTTTTAACACTTTCATCTTCAACTTATAATCAAAGGTCCTCAGATGCTGAAAAGGGGGTAAAACTTGCTTGAGCTCGAGGTCAAGACACATTTACACTTCGGAGAAATGACGGGACCTAAGGCGGTGCATCCAGAATGGAATCTTGGAATTTTCTAAAGTTGAAACAAACTCAAATACTCCACTTTTACATTTTTTAAGATGAATACAAGAACAACCATGCCCAAAATTAGGCAAAATTCCAGCAAAACACATCAAGGCATAATGGCACAATAAAAGATGAGCCGGTCGTACAATGAGGGTGTTTGGGAAAGATTTTTTTTATTTTTTTGGGATAAAATCCACAAAATGACAAAATAGGCTAAAATAGCCAACAAGACAAAATGTCACATCAAATCCATAATCATTTCACTTTTTCTCTCACAAACATCACATCTAACTATAAAAAAATTCAACTATCTTCCCAAACACAAAAAATTTTAGCCTACTAAAATAGCCAAAAACTAAAATAGCCTACTAAAATAGCAACTTCCCAAACACCCACAATATATTGGTTGGCTAACCAATTATATTATGATCAGGGGCAGAATCAAGTTTTCACACCTGAGGCTCTTTAAAACATGGTTTTGGGCCCTTATTTCACATACACACACCATCTGAAATCCATATTGCTCTCTCTCTAGGTGCTTTCTCTCTCTCTCTAGATTTTCATTCTACTCGCTTTACCCAATGACCTACACAAACTTTTTTTGCGAAACCCTTTTGGCCCTCTACACTTTGAACTGATTGGATTTTTATTTGGTCAAGTTTTTGGGTTTCTCATTGTTTTTTGCTTGTTTCTCACGCATTTTCTTGATCTTTTGCCCTCATTCTTGAGTTTTCACTTTTTCTTCTCATTTTCTCTCTCCTAGGGTTTGGTTCTCAAGGTTTTCACCTATTTCTCTCAGTTTTCTTACTTTTCTCTCACCACCCATTATATTCTCCATGGCCGATGACATTCCGCATGATGGTGCCCCTTCTGAGGTATCTATTCCTCTGCCCACTGTGAGTGTGGAGGACCCAATGCTAGGAGAGACAGACATAGCGAAGTGAAGGAGATTTACTCTCCGGAGCCTGTGTAACGACCTCATTGCGTATAATGATTAGCACTTAATTAATTAAGGAGATTTTAAATTTAATTGCCAATTATTCCAATTTAATCTGGGTTTTACGAAAATTATGGAGATTGATTCATTTATGGTTCTATTAAGTACTTATTTTGGAATTAGAAATTAAGGGTCCAAATGGCTTAAGGAAGTGAAATTAAGAAGCTGAATCAATTTAATCTTAATTACGGATCCATGTGGGAGTTTAATTAAATATTCGATTCAGTTTAGTAAAATTGAGATTCGATTAATTAGATCCTAATTGGAGTTAATCAAGTTAATTAAATTATGAAGATTGAGAATTGTAATTATTACGAATTAAATTTATTTATGGGGTGTTCAATTTGAATATGTAATTTAAGCGACGGAAATTTGGAGCCTTTTTGGGAGTTTGATTAAAATCTGATTCAGATTAATAAATTTAAATATAATTAATTGGACTCTAAAGGAAATCAATTAAACTAATTAATTTATGTGGGATTTGTGTTTGGGCTAATTAAGATTAATTAAAATTAAATGATGTCCAATTAAATTAAATGTGAATGATATATCAATTTACTTTTAATAAATTATATCTATTACAAAGGAATGTTGGTGTGTTAAGTCTAAGGCAACAAATATATATGTACATCATCAAGTCTTGTGTGGGTGGAAAAAAAAACAGAGCACGGCTGAGAGAGAGAGAGAGACCAAGAGGGAGGAAGAAAAGGGAAGAAGAAAGCCTTGTGGGATATCAAAACTTAAGCTAAAAATTATGAAAAATTCATCCTAAGGTAAGAAATTTCATCCTCTCTCTAGTGTTGTTTACTTAATCTAGACAAAAATTTATTCAAGATGTATTTTGAGAAGATTAAAAATAAAGATTTGAGGATTAATCATAAATTCATAGAAATTGGATTTGTATGTTAAATCAAGTTAGGTTGAAAAACATGAGTTATGATTCTTTGAATTTGTTAAATTTGGGTTCAATTTAGAGAATTATTCTTGAATTAAGTTCTATAAATTACGTGCAACAAGGGTTTATTAAAGATTTGACCCATGCAAATGAGTTAGGTTAATGATTATGGAAATCAACTTAGAAATTAATTATTTTGGGTTTGATTTTGCATATCTTATATGAAATTAAGTTCCATTGTTACATGCATGAGGGAATTCTATGAGTATTTGAATCTATATTTACATGCATCATGGATTTTGAAGAAAATAAGCCATTTAAATTCATATTTTGAAGAGAAAAATGAAATGTTTTATGAACATCAAGTTTATGGAAATTTAGAATTAATCTTAATGTTAGATAAAGTTTTGATTTTATAATTAGATTTTTAATCCATGCATGTAATGTAATTTAAGATTTTATTTAAATTAAGCATATTTTGAAACACCTATGGTTATGAATTAAGTTGAGGTTACAAATTAAGTAAAGTTTAAGATTATGGAAATTAGTTGGGAAAATTTATAAGAAAATAAAATTAGTAATTTTGATGTCAATTTCATACAAGTGAATAATTTTATAAGGAGTTTGTTAATTTCATGTTTTGAAGGAAAATAAAAAGAGCTTGAAGTCAATTTTATGTAACTAAAGAAAATGAGAAATTGGAGCCATGTTCAATTTATGGAGATTAATTTAGAGATTAATCACTTTGGGTTTGGAATTTGGCTTGATATGGAGGAATTGAGTTAAAACTAAATTTGGACAATTGGAGCATGATTTTGAATAAATAATTTCTAATTGAGAGTGTTTACTAAATTATACATTGGTTCTCCATATTTGTGTATCACAAATACATGTTTTGAGGCTTTGAATATCAAATCTAAACTTCAATTACAATTCGGAAAATTTCAGAATTTACACTGTCCGCTCGAGCGAGGAAAGTCTCGCTCGAGCATGAAAATCGAGCTCCTAGATGTTTTTCAAATTTTACAATCCGCTCGAGCGACCAAAGTGGCGCTCGAGCGAAGACCCTATTTTCAGCATATTTTGAAAATTCGCATTTAATTCATATTTTTATTCTCATCTCTTTCCAAAGCATTCTAGACATGTTTTATGGCTCTATAAGGATTAATAAGTTAACAATCAACATTAATTAGTTGATTAAACAATAAGTCATTAACTTAGTGATACTTGATTAAGAAGCCAAGTGAGGAATTGGTTTATTCAGAAAAAAATGATTTAGTAATGAAAGGATATGTGAAATAAGAATCTGATTCATTTAACTAAATGAAGATACACGTAGTAGAATCTCAGACTACTTGGGCAGAAAAAGACAAGAAAAGTCAAGCTTGATCAAGGAATTGATATTGTGTTTCGATGTGTATATGTTATGTGTTTGTATAGGTCACGCGCTATTGTCTGCTTGATTTGTGATCTGTCTGATCTACTTCTGCAACTATCTGTGAGTAATAATTCTGTAAAGTTATATTTAACTTTAATTATTTTCTAATGATATGAGATGATAAGTTCCTGAAATGCTATGTTTTGTATGAATGAATGATTGTCCAATTTTCTTTGAAACGTAATTGTGGTATCCTTAGCAGAGGCCCTCGCCCAGGGGAGCCCGGGGGTTAATACCGTGGCCCAGGCCCTCGCCCGGGGGAAATAATACCGTGGCCTAGGCCCTCGCCCGGGGAAAACAATACCGTGGCACAGGCCCTCGCCCGGGGAAAACAATACCGTGGCCCACGTATGAGATATGTTACCCGTTACTGGAGGTTCCATTATGGAACTTGATATGCTTGACCAACATGATATGCTACGCCAAAGGAAGTACCACACATTATTTGAATATGAATATGAATATGACTCTATTTCTGATACGAATATGAACATGAACATGACTATGTTTCTGATTGGATAAGAGATTTGAAAGCTGATTTTTGAGTTTCTGATACGAATACGAACATGACCATGACTACGCTTCTGAATTGATAAGAGATGTGAAATCTGATTTCTAAATTCAATATCGACATCATTCATTAAAACCCTTTACTCTGTTATTATTCATTGGGCTCTAGCGCACTGTAATATTTATGTATGTAGGTGAACAGACGCATGACCAAGCTTAAAGGCATCTGCCTGGAATATGTTTTTGTTAGCCAACCTATGTGCCTCCCGTGGAGGTTCCGGATATGTCAAGTGACTATGGCTACGTGATTTAAAGTTTAAGTTTTGTTTTCCTGATTGGTTAGACAAGTCTTGAGTATTTTGTAAATAGGGGTAAGTCCCTCTTTGTCTAATCTGTGTATATATGTATATAAAGTTTAAAAAATTCTCTGTCTCATATAAGTCTACATAACTCAATGGAAGTTGTTTAATTGTTATTTGCTTCCGCAGCCCCCAATTATATGTTATTCTGTTAAGAGGCCTTTGGTAATCCAAGGATTACTGGCCAGTTACGAGGCTAAACCTATAGGGGCAGGTTTGGGTCGTAACAGCCTGAGCCTGACTTGCCCTTTTGAGGGTGACGCCATTCGACCCGGCTACCTACCACCCATATACACACGGGATGGCCCCTAGTGGTATGTTGAGATTTGACGATTTTGATCGGGACGCGCCAGAGGACCTCCTCCTGCGAGAGCGCACATCGCATCTTTCCCATGATGCTTCTGAGGTAAGAACCTTTATCCCTTCATGTACTTTACTTTGACATTCATTACAATCTTTCATCTAGTCATGCATTTGATAAATTCCTCTTTCACCACAGGGTGACGCTTACGCCTAGGGAGGTTACAACGATATGACAGTGAGGCATTGGTATCAAGAGCTCCCCGTTAGAGTCCGAGAGATGGTCAATGAGGCAGACTTTGGCCTATTTTGCTCCAGGCTCTCACGGTTACAAGTGAGCCGGCCTCTGCTTGGCGCCTTGGTGGAGAGGTGATGGGACACGACCAACTCCTTCCACTTCTCCTCCACAGGGGAGATGATGATGATGCCCTACGATTTCTTGATGATCACAGGGCTATAAGTAAGGGGTGATCCAATCCCCTTTGATCTGGACGTGGGGTAGTGGCCTGGGTTTATCTTCTTGGAGCACGCCCTCCGTTGGACAAGCCCTCAATGGTGAGATATAGTTGGCTTTATGACCACTTCCACGGGAGTCAACCAGAGACTTAGGAGAAGGCAAAATAGTATGCCCGTGGGTTTTTGATCTACCTTCTCAGCACCACCTTGTTTGCGAATAGGTGAAACACTGTGGGTTTATATCTTCTGAACGCCCTGGTGGGATTGCCTCAGGTTCGCTTCTACAACTGGGGTGGTACTGGCCTTGCCACCCTGTATGGCTACATGAGCTCCGGTTTTTGCAAGAAGGGAACATGGTTGGTGGTTACTGGAGAGCCCGAGAGGTAAATCCCGCACTTTCAATTCAATTCCTGTCGTAAATTATGCTTTCTGCTTTGCATTTTTTGCCTTCATTTTTATTTCTACCTATTAACGTACAAAGTGCTCTCTCTTCTTGCAGCTTTGGGTCTATGCCTACTTGCCCACTCTCGCCCCAACTCTGAGAGATGAGGTGGCGGTAGCCATGCCTCACTTGAGATTGTACAATGATAGGTGTTACCCTCGTCACCACAGCATTACCACTTTTGCCTACCATCGTTGCTTTTTCGACACAATGATGGCCCACAAGGTAATTTGAAATTCATACCTATTTCCATTCCATCTCTATTGCTTTGGCCCAGACTTTGACAACTAACTTCAACTATGAATCCTCTATTTGTAGGTTACCTAGCAGCTGTGGATGATCATGCCCATAAAGGCGAGGGATGAGTACGCCGGTCCTAGGGATACTGTAGACGTCCCCGAACGCCCCGGGAGAAACGAGCTCCCGTTCTGTTCATTTTGGGGTCACTACAGCTCAAGACTCTCCAAATTTGTCACGGTTCTAAATCTGAACCAAAGAGTCCAAATCCGGCAAATCGTTTTGAGAAAACAGATTTTTGAAAGAAATGCCAAACATGGACAGTTTTGCCAGATACAGAGTCACCACCTAAATATTTTATTTTGAAAAATTTAGGAAACCCTGACTCGTTGCCTAAGGCCATGTGTCCGTCATCACCAAAGTTGCCTCAGCTCGGGAACTTGGATACGATTGGGGAAGGTCACTTCGTGAGCACCCCTGCTCGCCCGGTCAGAACCGGCCTCTATTTACCATGATATCTATTTTTGAAAACATTGTATGTTCTTATTCCGGTTATTAGCCTAGGTTACTATGTGATGCGCACAGCATACAAGTATAGACTGAGTCGCCTGAATTGGAACAAAACATTTATGTTTGTTTGTTTGAAAATGGTTTGATGGTGCTACCCGCAGGTAGGCTAAGACGTGAATTTGCCACCCTCGGGTGGGCTTAGAAAACATGATTTTGCCACTATCTAATGGGCTTAAAACTCACAGTCAATGATTTGTTCCAATCTAAACAACCCAACCTTCACCCACAGGCATTCAGGCAGTTATATCACATAAGCAATTAGCCTCATGGTAAGCATGCTATTCATGGCAGCACTCACACGCATGCAAGGATGCTAAAGCATAAAACTTTTCGGGTACTCCAAGCCAAAATAGAAACTAATTAGAAATCATGCATGATCCTAAGTATATAGAAATGGCCAATGCAGCGCATGCAAAATGCAACTATAGCAGGCTCGGCTATTCTAAACATGGCATATGAAATGCTACAACTAACATGTATCAATTTGGGATTGAAAGTACGATGCAGTTAGTATGGTGCGGCGAGCCCGGTGCATGCAAAACAGATGAATGAATGCAAAATATGCTATCATACTGTATGCTAATTGAAATATGCCCTAATCTAACCATCATAAGCGGATAAAATAAAAGGGAGAAAGACGTGGGGTTGGAAGACATACAACACACACACGCACACTTATTACAGTTATGCCCTCGCGCAGAGGGTCCGAATAAATATACAGTCCTGAATAAAAGAATTTACAGTCCAAATAATACAGTCCAAATAAATATACAAATTCCTAATTAATTAATAAATTAACTAAGAAAAACTGTAAAACTGGCGTGCAAGCCAGGGACTGCCTTGCTTCTAATGAATGATGTATGTCTGGGTTGCCTTGCGCGGAAATCCACCGGGATGCCCCAATTAGCCTCTGTTTAGCAATTATTATTGGAAAGCGTGCCAGACTCTGAAAAGTTACTGATTCTTCATTTTTCTGCAACAGAGAGCAGGAAAGGGGCATAGCAATGTATTTTTACAAATATATGCATACCTCGATCCTCGTGCCACCAATCACGCATATCGAGGCATGATGGCCGAGGAGTCGAATTGCACAATTTAATATGGGATGAATGCACATGAAAAACACAACAAGACCTAACTCCCTCATGGATGATCCGGAGTGTCGGTGACTGGGATTTGAGACACGTTCCGTCACTCGGAGTACGAAACGTACCTCGTTTCCCGTGCTCGGGCTAACTCCTATCCCGAACACGATGCAATATGCATGACATGCATGAAATGCAACTAAGATACAATCCTAACATACACAATGTTATGGAATGGCATACAAGCTGTGCGAGGTAATACACAACCGAGCATACACAATGCTATGGATGAAATGGCATACGCAATGCAATAATGGGCTTACACCAACATGAGAGAGCCTCAGTCACACTCACATAGGAGGCCATCAGATGAAAACAAGACAACTCGAAATGTGTGCATGCGTGCACGCAAACCGAGGACCGTCCCTCAGGCACCGAAATGCCACTCTAATGAGACATGGCAAAGACATGGAACATGATATGCAAACATGCAAAAAACAGTAGCAAAACGAGGGAGAAAACAGCCCCGAAATAAAGCGAAATGATACCCGATGCATGGAACAAGTCCCGAAACATGGATTTTGGCGCATGAAATGGCCTATAGCTATGCAATGCATGCACAATTTGAACATGAGATGAAAAGATAGAAGCAAGGCAGCCCCTAGATAAGCATTTTCACAATTCAAAGCATTGCCAAACAGCAAACACAAATAGGGCAAAAATAGCATGCAAAAATGGCCCTAAATGTGAGGTAATGAAACAACTCACAGCTGCTGACCCCAAACAGGTTAGGGCCCTTCAACAAAGTTGAAGAGGGGCCCAAAACATGATCTTTTTCAGAACTGTAAAAACCCCAAAAACAAACAAAGGTATGGCTAAGCTCTTATGCAAGAATTGGACCGAAAAATGGACAAAGAAGCAAGTGGTAGATTCAAAGCCCAAACAGAAAAAGACTCTTCTATAACACTGAACAGGGGCAAAAAATATGACTATTTACAGTTTATGGCAGCCCCAAAAACAGTATATAAATACACTCAAAAAGTCATGCAAGATGAGGCTCAAAAGAGGCTATAACACAAAGTCTACAAAATATTCCACAAACGGCCAAATACCCTTAATGGAACATGAAGAATGGGCCAAAATAAGACTATTTTTAGTACTGTAAAAAGGCCAAAAACAGAAGCACAATGGGCTGCCAAAGCATGCAAGAAAAGGGGACCAAAGAGGGATATAACATGAAGTGGCAGATGGGGGTCCCAAACAGTGATGAGCCCTTCTTCAATGTTGAAGAGGGGCTCAAAATGAGCCTATTTACAGTTTACATCATGCTCCAAAACAGATCGCATATAGGCTAAAAATATCATGCAAGAAAATGGCATTCAAGGAGGATATTGAAGCAAGTGCAATATGGGGGCCTCAAACAGTGTTGAGCCCTTAAGCAAAAGTGAAAAAGAGCTTAAAAGAAGGCCACTTTCAGTTAGGGCCGGAGCTCAAAACAACAAGCATATATGGCTTAAAAAAGACACAAGAAATGGACCAAAAAGGGGGAAAGTCTACTTACCCTTGAAGACCAACACTTTTGTTGCTTCTTGGACCAGATTTGATGACTCTAAGCTGCTGGAATCCCTTCCTTTGCTGCTGGAATGGAGTGGTGATGGTAGAGCTTGAAGATGATGAAGAAAATGGAGCCAAAACTTGAAGGAAATGGAGTGATATGTATGTATATCCTCAAGCCAATTCTTGTAACCCTTTCTCTTGAGTTGGGAGGCCAACTATATAGGCAAGAGAGGGAGAGAAGGGTCTAGGCCAAAGTGGAGGGAAAATGAGGCTAGTTTTCCCCCAAAAAATATCCCCCGGATCAAGATATTTTCTGGGGGAAACAGCTATACAACTGTAAAGTGCAATTTGTGAGGATCATGGCCGGCCACCTTTTGGAGTTGCAGGTGGCCAGCCTGCCACCCCCCCTAGCCGGCCGGCTAGGGGTCAAAAAGGTCAAGTTGATTTTCTGGCCGGCCACCACAAAAAGGTGTCCTCCCAGGTCCCCTCATCACAACCCTGTGGTTCGAATTTGGAAACTGTAAAACAGGAGAGAGAATAGGCCATTTTTAAGAGGGGTTCAAAAGGGTCAAATGGAATTTCTGGCTGGCCATATGATATTAGGATCCTCCCATGTGTGTACAACACAAATATGTGGTTTGGGGTTGAAGAAAGTGCCCCCAAGGTGTTCAACATTGGCTCGGAAGTGAGAAAAACGGGTGTCGGAGGGCGAAAATGGAATATAACTGGTTGCCAAGATAATTGCTGGTCTCCCACCCTCCAGTGACCTTCCTGGTGATAAAACAGAGGTACCTGCCAAAAATGAACGAAAACCGATGCAAAACGAATGCTCGGGGGCCAAAACACGCAGTTCGGGGTCCCGAAAATGGGCTGCTAAGCACCAAAAGTGGCGTTCGGCCACGAAGTGGGTTTCTCAGACGCCAGTGTCCCTCAAAAGGGATCAAATAAGATGTATGCTAAAATTTAGAGCAAACGGAGATGGTTAAGCAGTCTCGAACCGAGGCACACGGCCAACGGTCCCGAAAAACCGGAAACCGGGCTCCGAAATGGGCAAAATGGCCTACAGCCACAAAATGTAGCCCACGGCCACTGAGAGATGGTCTACAGGACCTCTCCCTCCCCTCGGGAAAATAAAGAGAGAAAACCGAGTTTGGTTCGCAAACCGAGGCAAGGCACAGAAGAGGGTTCGGAAATTCGGAGGCAGGGCTCATGGCCGCGACTCTGAAACTTCTGAACGAGCACGATATGCAACATCACCAAGCGCTCAATCGGTGACGTCTGAGTCTTAAGGTCGGTCAAAAATGGGGTGTCTACAGATACCTCCCGGTTATGGATTCTGTTGGAAGGTCCTTTCTATAGGACCTGGTATCTAGGGGAGTGCTTTGTACACCAGACCCTAGGCCTCGCTGACCCCATTGTTCTTACTATCCCTCCTCCATCGATGAGGACCACAGATAGTCTTCCTATCGAGGCTATAGTGACATTATTGGCGGAACAGGATGCTGATCTATTCTGTGGAGTCGGGGACTACACTGCCTTCATTCGGACCCATCTTATGGCGCCTCTGACCAAAGTTCACGAGGGTGGCACTACTGATGCACCCGCCACTAGAGGTGCCGCTCCTATGGTTGAGCCTGATGCTAGAGGCACTGCCCCTGCTGTTCATGTGGCCTATCTTCATACGATCCCGACGGCGATCACATACTAGCGACTAAATGGGACAGCACACTAGATTCCACTTCAGCACCTGGAGGAGAGCGAGTATGTTCAGGACCCTGATGTCTAGCAGGTATACACTTTATCTTACAATTTTGTATTTCATATTCCCTTTTTTCTATACGCTGATTTTCACACTCACTTATAGATACAAGTGGGTTACGTGGATGGTCTCCTTGAGTTGGTCGACTCCTTGGTCCATATGGTGCGGAGGAATGAGGCATTGTATGCCTACCACGATCATCAGGTGTCTCATTTGACCTTGTTTTCTCAATTGACATGTTCTACTTTCCCTTTGCTATACTTATACTATTTTTTTGCAACCAAACTGCTCTGATACATTTGTTTCTTGCAAACTCTTTTCAGCCTCCGCCTACACCAACAGCATCTGTGGCACCTCCTTCAACTATGGAGAAGAGAAACAGATGGGTCCCCACACGCGACAGGGGTGAGGGCAAAGATGCCGAGAGTCAGAATCAGAGTAGAGATAGTGAGTCCCTTATACAGGGGGCTTTCTCATCTGTAGAGACGACCTTGACCGATGAGGACACTGAGACCAGGGACACCGAGGAGATTGCAAGTGAGCACTCTGAGTCTGAGGATGGAGATGATGATTTTGGCTCAGAGTCACATCCTTCTGGTGATAGCGGCGCCAACGGTGATAGTGATCTTGAATCTCGTCCTCGAAAAAGGACAAAGATTGCTTCCCGATGCACCTGACATAGAGGACACTGATCTTGCACTCCACTTTTCCTTTTCTTTTGCTTTGTAGTACAAAAATCACGTAGCTTCAGATAGGTCCTTTTACTGTTGCTTTTTGAAAACTTGCATTTTCTTTTGTAAAAATGATGATCAAGGTTGAACCCTATAGTTTATGAAAGAAAGAATGTTGTTTTACATAGCATCTTGAGAATGGCACAACACTTAGACAAAAAACAACTTATTTTTGAAATTAAAACTGAGAATGATTGTATTTGAATGAGTTCTTAATTGGATATTGAGCCTACAACTGGCCAAAATACAAAACACGAATCAACAAAGGAAAAACAAAATAAAAACAACTTAAACACACCTATTTGCACTTACTAGAAACAAAAAAGACTCAAAACAAGACCCAAAACAAATAGGACAAACATAACACTACTGCCAAACTATTGGTCGGCACAATTGGTCAGCCGGCCAATGAAATTTACGGTCAACTGGTGAAGTGGCCGGCCGGCCAAGAACTGCGACTAGACAGCTGATAACAACTGTCAACAACTGTCAACCACTCACACACCTTTATCTCCTATAAAGGTCTTCTTTTCCTGCTTTCCACGATAGAACATCACTTTTTTGCTAGTTTTCTCTAAAAATGGAGATCTTCCTTGTTGATAAGCTCAAAGATTGGACAGGCACTTTGGATGGCACAGAAAAGGTAAATTCAACGATTTTGGCATAAACGCTCTTTTTTCCTTTTGCCACACTCTGTTTTGCTTTCCATTTCTCCATGCTATTGCCCGTAGTTGGGACCTATTTACTCGTGTATTTCGCTTCGGATCACAAGAAATGTGTCCTACTCTTGAAGAGTTTCAGGCGTTAATGGAGTCTTGTCGTAATGAAGAGATCATGCCTTAACCCCTTTTTAGCCATGCACGAGCTCTTGAACAGATGTGTGGCCTTTCTTTCAACGAGGCTAAATCTTTGGCTCATAATGGAGAGTTGGACATTCCTGGCTTGATTCACTGTTTCTCCGATATTGGAAATAGGCGTGATCTTTTTTGGCGAAGTTATCGCCAACACGCTCTCTACATATACTTGGTTGCCCATTATCTTCTTGCCCCTAATGGGAGTGGAGTCAGTATCCGATTGATCAAAGTGACCCAACGCCTTAAGGAGGGCTGAAGCTGTATAGGCTTGACATTGGCTAAAATCTTAATGGGTTTGGATGCTTTCCACAGGTGAGAGACTTCTCAGTTTGCGGGGAGTCCACTGCTCCTCCAAGTACTGTTTCTCACCCTTTCTCATTTATGATTTCTCACATCACTTTGGCACTCAATCTCTATTTTCTCTCAAGAGCCCTTTCCTTACTTTTTCTCTCAATGCACATCTCTCTATTCTATAATCTCTCTTATTTTTTATCCCTTCCCAGGTGTGGTTGATGGATAAGATGAAAGTTGTGGACCCTTGCCCCGAGTACTCAACTAGATCCTACTTTTTTCGTTCACAGCTAGTGAGCTTTCCCACTGAGGGGTTGTGGTGTGACTGGATGTGCAGCAGATCTGCAACTGACATCGCTTGGCAATGCCCTTGGCTTAACTTGACCGAGATAAGTTACAGCATGTCCCGCCAGCCAGGTATACAATTGATTGGCCTTACACACTATGTTTTCTACTTCCCATTCTGGTTCAGATGCCAGTTCGGGCTTTAGTAGACTCGTCCAGATAAGGGGGTCAAATATCTCCATTTCTAATATGTGCTTCACACTTGACTCAATACTTCGCTGCTTGGAGAATGAGAGAGATGTTAGCCCTTGCTACTAGATTCAATTGTGTCCTTTTTGGTGAGTGCTTGGCCTGGCTTGAGGATGAGACACATGTTGGGCCATCTTTGGTGGCAGAAACTTCTGAGAGTGCGGGCAAGAGGCGAAGGACCACTACCTGACTTATCTGTGCCCCTAATTTATTACTTTGACTTTTCTTTTCAAGTTTTATGATGTCAAATCAACTTTGGTTTAACTTGAGAGTTGGATGGTGTACTTGTTTTGAAATCATGTAATTAAAGTTGTGAATACTGAAAATTTTCCTTTTTGGTCCAAAGAATGGCCTATTTTGCAAAGAGTAAAATTTTGAGAAAATCAACTTTATTAAAACCTTTCAAAACAAATTTTTGCAAACAGTTACTACCTGACACACATGGAATCAATCCTCAAGACGTAGAGCTCTGAATCAAGAGGATCATGACTGCCTATTACTACATTCACCTTCATTATTATTCTGCCCCTTGCTTTATCTTGAAACTGGACTTTAACCAAATAGAGGTAAAACAATCAAGCCAACAGATGGTGAGCTGGACCGATGAAACAATGGATAGGACAGTTGAGTAGAAAATGATTAGGGTTGAACTTCAAGATGAAGTTGCCTACGTATCCCCAAGATGGGAATCAGGCCTTACGTAGTTCACGATTAAGGTTCACTTGGGTATTTACTCTCTTCTTTTGCGCTCTAACTTTTGCCAAAGCCGCCCTTTCAGATTTTCAATTTTTGAGCTTTATTTTCATTTATATCCAATTTTTCACGCTCTAACTTTTTCCTAGGTCGCCCCTTCAGGTTTTTGACCTAGTGAGCCTCTCAAGGATAGTATTTCTTCAACTTGTTCATATTAATCGGTTGTGAGAATTCCAAGCCATCTAAATCCATAAGGATGATTGCTCCTCCTGACTAGATAGATTTGATGATGTAAAGACCAGTTCAATTGGGTCAGAACTTGCCCCTAGGGTCATGGATAGAAGCTCGGTTGTCTTTAAGCAAACAATATCAACTCTTCGATCCAGTTCTATTGCTAATCTGTTTCTACTATCTGACACTTAACCATGATTTTCAACGGCGGTACCTCGATTTCGATTGGCAAAACAGCTTCCATCCCTTATACCAAAGAGTAGGGGATTGCCCCTGTAGAAGTTTGAATTGATGTTCTATAACCCGAAGTGCAAAAGGTAGTTTATCTAGATAATCCTTGTAGGTTTTCACCATCTTTCATAGAATATTCTTAACATTCTTGTTTGCGGCTTCAACGACTCCATTGGTTTGTGGCCTATATATTGATAACTTGTGAAAAGCCACATTGTACTTCTCGAGTAAATCTACCACCTCCTTTTTGAAGTGTGAGCCATTGTCCGATATTATCTCATTCGGCACCCTATATCTGCAGATGATGTTATTCCTAATGAATTTGGCCATATGCGAAGCTTTCAACACAGAATACGACTGCGCTTCTACCCACTTGGTGAAGTAGTCGATTGCCACCAAAATGAACTCATGTTCGTTCAAGCCCTTCTGTGAGACCACTCCAATGACAACTATCCTCCCAGATTGAGAAAAGCCATGGCAAAGTCATATTGTAGAGCTTTGATGGTGGAATATTCGTGCGGTTGGCATGGATTTGACACTTATGGCATCGCCGAATGAAGTTGACACAATCATCCTCCATGGTTGACCAATAGTAACCTCGCCTGAGGATCTTCCTGGCTAGCAGTACACCATTCATATGTTCTTCACACTTTCCTCCATGAATGCTTCCATGAGATGCTTCGATTCTTGGTCTTCCACGCAGAGTTTGTGCATTCCCAGATGCCCTCTTTTGTACAACTTACTTCTGCATCTGATGAACTAGACGGCTAGATGTCATATTCCCCTTTTATCCTTGTGGATACATGTCTTTCTCTAGAAAGTTCCAAATGTCATGATAATAGGGATTTTTGTCCTGAACCTCGTTTATTGCGGCTATTATTTCAAAAGTGGGCATATACTTCTGCTCAATAATGATCGGACGCATCTTAACCCCAATTGGTATGTCTACCATAGAGGATAGAGTTGCCAGTGCATCAGCAAATCAATTGTTCTCTCTTAATAGGTGCGTAAATGTCAGTTTTTCAAACCTTGGAATTAGAATGTCCAGGGTCTGGTGATAAACTTTCATCTTCTCTTCTTTGACCTTCCAATCTATATTGGCTTGAGAAACAACCAGGTTCGAGTTCTCGATGACATCCAACCTTATTACCCCTAGTTCCAGGGCAACTGGTAATCCAGCACTACACGCCTCTTACTCTGCTTCATTGTTGGATACTTTGAATCGGAGTTTGAAAGCCAGGGGTATATGGGAATCATCGAGTGCTATGCGCAACATGTCTATCCCATAACTGTATTGGTCAGCCATCAAAGTACATTTTTCGTGCCTCTTCTTCTACCTCCAGGATCTCTTCATTTGGGAACAGGTACTCTACATCTTCCTCTCCCTTAACTAGGTGGTTTGCCAGAAATTATGCTACAGCCCTTCCTTTGACCGACTTACGAGTGATATACTTGAGGTTGAATTCGGACAAAAGAAGCAACCAACGACCTAGCCTACGTGTAAGTGCTGGTTTCTCAAAAAGATATTTAATGGGATCTAATCTCGAAACCAGAATTATAGAATGGGCTAACAGGTAGTGTCTTAACTTTCTAGTGGCCCAAACCAAAGCTAAACAAGCCTTCTCCAAAGGGGTGTAATGGATCTCATACTCCAGCATCTTTTTACTAAGATAGCAAATCACCTTTTCCACCTTATCTTCTGATTCTTGTGCTAGCATGCATCCCATGGTTGGCTTTGTTACTGACAGGTAAATGATCAGTGTCTCGACTTCCTATTGTTACCCAGATTTTAGCTTTTATGCTCCAACGAAGCTTCTTGCGCTCAAGCGGTCTTTGTGAACTCTCGGTACTTTTGTAGGCCCGCAAAACTATAGGGAGTGTGCATTCTTCTCTTAAGCGGTGTTTCCTACGCTCGAGCAGTATTGTACTCAAGTGGTCCTTCTTGAGCTCGAGCAGTGGTCCTCTGTCTGCAAAACTTCTGAGAGTTTGTATTTTATGCTCGAGCGGTCAAATTCCTTGTGTTTGGATGCTCGAGCAACACTTCTTGCACTCGAGCGGTCTACGTGTATATCAGTTCGTAAAGTCACCTTTTTGGGTCACTTTTTCGGGTCACTTTTTCACTTCTCTGTCTCTCTCTGTCTCTCTCTCTCTCTAAACATTCTAAAAACCCTAGATCTCCACACACTCTCTCTAAAACTCTACTTCTCTCTACAAATATACCTAGATCTGTGGAGTTTTTCACCCTTGTCCCTTTGATAAAAAGGTAGAGCACTCCGAGGGTACTCTTTTGGTCCGAGCAAAGTTG